GACACGGGATATACTACAATAGATCAAATTACTGGTCGCAGTGGTGTTATGTCCCGAACAGAGACAAAAAAAAAGGTTTCTAATAATTCTGATGTTTCACTTTGAGTATACTACCTATTTAACCATGAGCATTAGGCCTAAACCTAATATCACCTTCATTTCAGCATCAGCGTGATTAATTATTGGTCGTTTGCAAGAAATCAGTGGTTGAAGTGAAAAAAGTCAACTGTGGATAATCGAGTCCGACCTGTATTGTATTGTATTTATTTAAGCATTGAGTCGGGATGTGGCTGTTTTGAATATGACCCGAAGCTATCACGGGCAGTACAGTTTATATGAGTAGATACGCAGTAAAGCAGCTTTTTCCAAGGTCTATGGAGCATTTCATCGTATACAAAAACCATTTTCCCATTACTAAACATATAACTTTACCGGGAAACTTACAGCCCGACGCTTTTTTTCTGAGAAAATCAGAGTTTTCCTTACATTCTTTGGAATAATTAAGAGAAAAAACATTTTCTCTATCTCATCATGAAAAATAGTGGGACTCTAAACAAGAACGAAAGGTCGATTAATGTGGTTTTCAAGTCCATCCTTTTGCCATTATGAGATAGAAAAAACGTGTTGAACACGATAATTTTCAATAGAATTGGAGAAAAATACTGACTTTTGTTAGATTTACGATATCTTTTAACAATTTTTTTATCAAATGAAACCTTTTTTCTGGGTCGAAAGCGTTTAAAGCATTAAAATCATAAGACAAACTGTTTTAAAAGAGTGAATAGTAGAAATTTGTCTGAACTTTGATTAAAAATATTTAAATATATATAAAAATAAATTCAAATAAAAATAAACAACTATTTAAAACTAAATAATGATTGATTCTATGAACATCTGTTTTGAAAAACATTATATAGGGGAAATGGATATAATGTTGGCCTATGGATCTAAGTTTGGGCGCATCACTATAAATCTGGACGGTTATAAGTGTGGTGGTTTTCTCCCTTTCCGGGAAGTTTTAGAACCGAGAAAGCAAACGTGATTCATCATGTTTGTTTGCAAGCATCAGAAGAGATGTAGCTCTGCGTTGTTTGATTTTTTCTCCCGGACCAGAAATTAGTGGCATCGCGAGTGATAATGTTTAATTTAAGTTTATTTACGCGCTGAGAGGCTTCGCAAAAAGACAAGAAAAAGGGGAAAAAGACGTCGGATACAAGATGCGATGGAGAGCCGCCTTTATAGTTGGACGTTGAACAGATCAGCTAAGTTTACTTACATTTTAATGTGTTATTCACATACATTTCAAATTGTTACTACTAAATACGCTCCAGAATATTTTTTTTTTTATTCCGGAAGTGTGAATGCATTACATGTATCCAATTGATACATCGATGTGTTCATGCGGGGCTTATTGTATATGAAGGAGACCTCATAATGTACGTGTAGGAACAGGCATTCTTGAAATGGGTCACTGAATGTACAATATCGCTGTCACCTTCCATCTCCAGGGCTCAAAATGTTTGCACCTATGATACAGGATAGATGCAGACAGGTTCCTTCCATAAAAACACTGCCGGTTCAGTGGACGATGGATTGTATCCACACACACCACACACACATCACTATAAATCTGCTATTTATCCATTTTGTCTAGATGAACGCGTCATTGGGACGGTACTATTAGATATTTTTGGTCGCTATTGAAAATTTAGTCGATTGCTGAACTTATGTATGGGCCCAAATTAGGGGCATTTAGGCCGAAATTACATACATTTCCCCTATGTTTTTATTATTATTATTATAGTCACTTAAACACTCTTGGGTCATTCGTGACTTGTCCGGTGAGATTTAAACTCATAACTGTGGCGTGAGAGGTATGGATATTCACCACTACGCTGGGGTCGCCACTACAGTTTCGTTGTATATACCAACGGTCTATGGTCAAGATAACGATGGGAGATTTTACGCGAAGGTTTAAATACAGATTTTTTTCCTTTTCAGGAGTCTAATGACGTGCGAAATCTGCAATACCAACAATTCTTCTTGCATCTGATTAATAAAAACATATTTTGAGAGCGTTTCTTTCACTACTATATACTTTTCATGGACATCATGAAACTGCTTATTAACATTTTGTGTGTTGAACCAAATCGTATTAAGATTCCACAAGTCAAAGCATTGAAAGGGGCCGTCCACATTCTATGTAGACAGTTTTTGAGAGATTTGTGCAATGATCAGCTATTTGTGCAATCATCTATTTTTTAAATTTATATGGACCACCGCACGTCTCCTCCTCCTTTTTTAATTCGAATCCGGTGTATCCTTTCCCAAGATTTCGGAGGTTTCCTCTGTATCGAATGACTCTTCCAGCTTAGCGTCGTTACTGCCGAATAGTCGTCATATATGTTACGGAATAACGAAGGAACTGTTATCCGTAATTGAACTACCAGTAAAACTGATATCAATGGAGTATTGCCACGATTTGGAATCTATTAGAACAAAAAGGGAGCACCCAACTCTTGCACTTGCGCTTCAAATTGAGCATCCGGCTCAAAGATCCACAGTGTACGGGCCAATTCCATCAATCGGTAGATAAAAGGACTGTATTTCGGCATTTGTAATGAAAACTCACTGTATTAGCACTCTTGAATAAAGAACAGATCAAAGTTTACATGTGTCTCACTTTATACACGTAATTTTTCAAAACGTAGAACTATTGTCGTTTTCGTTTTTGGGGGATAGTACCAAAAGTGTATTACCATTTCAGGGAAATCAATTCAATGCTACATGTTATTAAAACTGATATTCTGACGCCAAATTCTATTTTTTTTTCTCTGATTTGACAATAGCCTCAATAACATTTGTTTGTAAACAAAGGTGCACCCGATATCTACATCCTGAATAAATTTGGTGTACGGTCGTGTAGCAACGACCCGAGCAAAGTCTGAGATCAAATTGAAATCTAAATTTGATGTTGTTATTTCGCTGATAATGATTACTCATGTTGCTGTCGTTTTGGTCGTTTCAACGGATAAAATATCACAATTGAGAGCAAACAAATCTTCCTGTGACATCACATTGGAAACTATTTCTGCTATCAGTGAGAGCAAACTGAAAACTAAATTTGATATATATTTTTTCTGTTGATAACAAAAAAAGTATTCAACTTGATGCTATGCTAAGGCAATGAAAACAAACCCACAACAACATATTTCTGAAGAGCAAATGTATAGCAAATTGAAAACAAAATTTAGGTTTCAAATGTGTCGATTGCGTAAACTGAAATCAAGTTATGATTTCAGTTTGATGGTGATATCAAAACTTGATTTCAATATGCTGTCATTTTGATGCTGGACTTTGCTCGGGTAGCTACACCGCAAAAACGGAAACGACATACGAAGATGGGTTTTCAAGTTCAAGAAATAAAGGAGTCTCGAAGTGTTTTGTTGTCCTGGTACCAGCTTGAAAATAGATCGCTTGAAGATTCCCGATTATATTTCGGACTAAAGAATCCTTTACTGGGTAAGTATAAGTAACCTTCCACATCTTGCGGTGGAAGATTGTCTTCAATTGTCACAACTTTTCCGGGTTGTCCGGTATGGCCAGACTGGGAGGCTTTGGAATACCTTGTCAATCTGCAAATAAGCTGGTGTAACACGCCGATTGAAGGAATTTAACATTCGAGCCGAATGCGATCAGGTTCGAAAGACCCATGTTTGGGCTAATTCCTTCAATCGGCGTATTAATGAACTGTGGTTCGAATTGTATGCAAATGTTTACTGTGTTTATTAAATTGTGAAAAGTAGATGAACAGTAAATTTGCCTTACATAAAATCCCAAATACAGTCCTTTAATACGCCGATTGAAGGAATACCCCAGGGAGGCACAAATGCAATGTAGCAAAAGACTGAAAGTCTCTCTAATGAAGAAAACTAACTAACTAACCGAAAAAATGTTATACCCTGGCCTTTTGAAAACCTACCTATGGAAATGACGGCTTCGGCTAAAGTCTTAGTGTTATTTTTTTTTTGCAAAGCGATAGTCTGGAATATGATGCATCATCGCTCAAGGACTTCATTTACCCCCTGACGATGATAGGTTAAGAAGTGCAGAAACTGTTATTTCTCCTATGTTGCATGAATTTGAAAAAAAATGGAAACACTTGTTTCAGATCGTCCAACTGCTCCGAGCATGTTGATTCGAGTTGGAGTATTTGTTTGTTGGTGAACTGAACCACTGCCAGTTCGATGATCTATTTTGGATTTATAGTTTTTAAACTCTCTAACCAAAACTGTTTCTAAGAAATCTTTATGAAGAATATATTTTTTTTGGGATAAAGATATTGAGACCTAAAGATTAATAATGCCAACATCGAGGGTTGATAACAGCTGAAATTATTTGTTTTATAAGCGAAAATTATCGTTATCTTCTGATTTTTATGGTTTTTAAACATGAATGTTATTGTGTGCCATCAGCTTAATAACGAGCATTTTATTTATTTCTGTTATAATTATATTTTATATTTCTTTTAATTTGATTGTAGGTTACTTGAATTCTTACATATATTTTCATTAATCCAGTATAAATTTAGGGCCATTAATAAAATCATTAACTACTATCGATCTATTAACTAAACTAACTAACAAATGCTTTAACATGTTCTTTTTGTTTTGCTTCATTCAAACTATGCCGTTTCATATGCATTACAGGAATCTGACATTCCGCTGAATTTTTTTTTTTACTTCAATCTTACTATTCTTAAGCAAATTGAAAAGTGAAACTAATGAATAATCAGTAAACGTATGAAATACTGTCCCAAAAATGCTGATTATCTTTATAAGTAGACGCCACTATTGCATGTTATCTATGTCACTATGTTGTTTGCTACTATAACCTTTTCTGCTTTATATAAATGTGATGTTCATATCTTCAAAAAAAAAATCCCGTGGAAGCAGGTGTATTTATTCTATGCTAATTCATAAATTTCAATTCATCTATAGGAATGGAACGATTATAACTTAAGGTGGAATGATTCTGACTTTGGAGGAGTAAGAGATTTAAGGATAACACCCAACAAGCTATGGAAGCCCGATGTGCTGATGTACAACAGGTAAAATATTGTGTTTGCTTTTCTTTTAAAAACTGATATTTCATATTCAAAGTCATCAGTTAAAGATGGTTGATGTGTAGAATTTTAAAATTTTCTGATGTTTCTTATTTGTTTTTAAATAAAATTTATCATTTAAAAATAGGATGAATGATCTATTTTTATCAGCAGTTTGTGAAATTAAATTACGCATATTGTTTTCGGTACTTAAAGCTACTATTATACAAAAATGATCATAAATAAATATTTTATTTACTTTTACTTGATAAAAATTAAATTTATTTCTTATAAATCTTAATGAATATGTAAAGAGCTTTGTCGTCAACTAGCGATCAATTTGCTAACTAAAAATATATATTGTGGGTTCAATCTCAGGCTCCTTCTTACTATTGGAGTGAACGATCGTGTTTTTTGGTTTTTGGTTTAATGTAGAAAATTGCAACTGATAGTACTCAATTGGACCTATCTAAAAAACATGATATCTTCAGCATAGTATGACGGATGCTTGATCCGGGATCTAGAATAGAACGAGTTATATCATTACATGTTGGTTGAATTATTTCGGTGATTTCTTTTTTTAAATAGCTTATGCCGGTTGTTGTGATGTAAGAGGTTTGGTGGCCTAAAGGTGACCGTTTTTGTTTACTGAGCAAATGGTCGTGGATACGATTGTAGCATTACCGAGCTAATAGGGCCGCTTTAGGGTTGTCAATACCGAGGTGGTTATTGTACATTTTTTACTGCAAATATGTCACTACTAAATTGTATAGGGGATACTAATGTCGCGACATTTTTCGCCGTAAAATTTGCATGAAATTCACCACCTCTGATGAAGAATAACAAAGGTGTGTATTGTACCAATACAAATTGATTGAAAAATAATCCTCTAGCACACAATGAGCAATATTTGTTTCATTATTTTGTTGAGGACGAATTTTGCTCCCTAATTATATAGAGTACATAGAGGATCTCGGCGTTACCGTGGACTGCAGAATGACTTTCAGAAACCACTATAATGACATCATCTCCAGAGCTAATTTACAATTGGGCTTTATTTTCAAAATTGCCGACGAGTTCCGTGACCCGCTATGCCTCAGGTCACTCTATTGCTCGCTAGTGCGATCCTTATTGTCAAGTTTAAATAGTTCCTTGAGTCAAGTTTAAATAGTTGTTTGGTGCCTTTTCCATGCTAGCTGGATCACTAGAATTGAATCCGTTCAACGCAAGTTTGTGGGATATGCTCTTTGTTTCCTCAACTACCATGACCCAAAGAACTTGCCACCGTACGAGGAGCGTTACCGTCTCCTGGGAATCTAACCATTAGAGGTGAGACGGACGGTCGCTCAAGTTTTGTTCGCTGGAAAGCTGCTTACGGGTGACATTGACTTTCCAACACTGCCGTCTCAGCTAAATATGTATGCCCCTGAGAGGCCTCGTCGTCAACGCAATATTCTGTTTTTGAACCACGGCACCGAAATTATACACAACACGAGCCAATTCGAGCCATCAGCCGGAAATTCAACAACTTCTTTTATATGTTCGACTTCAATGTATCAGCTGACGTTTTTTGTCATCGGTTACTTGGCATTTTCCGTACCGTTGAATGTAACTATTTAGTTTAAGTTTTATTGATTTAGACAATAATTGTCAGCTAGATTTTTCAATATACAAATAAACAAATAAACATATATATCTGGACTCCGATAAAGATCTCTCGGAATCAATGGATGTTGGTTTGATTGGTCCCATGTTATCATAGAGCACGGTCTTTTTTTCATTATCTTGATCTTTATATTTGATCTAGAAATTGTTGAAGATCTTATTTCAATCAGCCTCTTTTAAAATAGGTCATTGACGAAAAGTTTATCCGAGCAATGTGATTAATGTTCTGCTTTTGTTTTTAATCCTTTAGTAATATCGGAGGTATGCTGTTCCATGATTATTCTTTGAAACGTTTCCACAGCATGTTTTTGCTTAGTAGCTATGGATGTTGTGAAAAATATTCCAAAACTGTCTATGGCCTTCATGAGTTATTGTAGCATAAACTAAAGGGCAATATCAGCTTAACCCTTTATCTGTACCTTGGAGTCAATTTGACCCCAGGCCACTTTGAAAGGCTGTTACTATTTTATAAATTGATGGATTTTTCTAAAACTTTCGTGACTAGGTGCATCAGCCGGAGCTCTGTAATACAAGATGAAATGTGCTCCAAAAACATGGACAAATATTTATTGTGTTTTTTTTATTAAAATACTTACGTTGTCTGTACCCTGGGGTCAATTTGACCTTTAATTTAAATTGCCGTATCTTACCGAAATTTCAATGTATTTCTTAAATTTAAAATGTATTGCAAAGAAAAATTAGTGAAATTTCAGATAATATTATCGGACTTGTTTTGGAGGGGCGCTGTAAAAATATATCCATTAAGAGGCTTCCTTCTGCAAAGATGTTCAGAAATATAATGTCTTCAAAACTATGGACAGTGTATGATAGAATTTACTTTACAAAAGACGGAAAATTTCTATCTAGTCCATATGTTAAATTCGGGCAAACAATGCAAAGAGAATGTCACACTAGCGTCACCTGGTGAGTGAATTCTGAAATAAAATATTTTCCTTAAGATAGGTCTTGTCCATCTGAACAACTTTGCTTAAGTTCCGGGAACTATCCTTATAAGCAGGATCTGTAGATGGCGTTATATAATGTGTATTTAGGAAGGCGCAACTTGATCATTTTCGTTTTAGCACCATCTATTGAGTAAATTCTGCCATACACTGTCCATAGTTTTGAAGACATTGTACTCCTGAACATCTTTGCAGAAGGAAGCAACATCCTAGATGGTTGGGAAACGCGTGAGATATACGCCCCTAAAAAAATCTAATAATTTACAGAGATACGATCGGAACCAATGCAGTAGGGAACCGCCGATGCCAAGCTTTTCCAACTTTGCCACAGCAATATCGTGGTCGATTCTGTCGAATGCCGCCGATAAATCCATACATGTGACGTCAGTTTGCGATTCAGCTGTAAACCTATCCATGATGAACGATTGACAGGAGATTCGTGGTCGTTGAACGCTTTGGCATAAATCCATGCTGATCCTCTCTAATGTATTGCTTAACGTGGAAATAGATTGGCCCCAGGACCACCAATTCGAACAATTTGGAAGCCGCACACAACGTTAAAATTCCACGATAATTGTCAGCATTTCGTCTATCACCATTCTTGCGGACGGGAAATATATACGCGTCTTTCCACAACGAAGGGAATTTATTGGTCGTCAACAATAATCGAAATATATGCCCTAGAGTAGATCACTGATGATATATAGCGTTTGAGACAGGAATTGTTTTAACGCATCGATCGGAAATCTGCACGTTGTTGAGGTAGTATGACGTCGTTGCAAAAAGTATCAACGAACTTTTCAGAAAACATTCGACGCATGTCAGAAATTAAATCAGCCACGTTTCCGTTTCGAGGAATTGAGGATGGTAGACCATTATCCGTTCGTTATTCATTTACATGTCTCCAGAACGCCTTATGGTTACGCTTTAGTTTAGTCTGCACACCGCGTCGATAGGCTAAAAAGCAGCGACGTGCTAATCGTTTGTATCGATGGTTAAGCATCACGTAATGGTTCGTCAGTAAAATCGACCGGTGCTTTGAAAACTTACCTAATTTTACGCAAGGATGCTGAAAGTCACGGTACTTTCCTGGAGGATGAAAGATCTTTCGTTGGGACATGTCGATCGATGAAAAACTTGTAGTGGCGATATCAGCATCATCTGTCCCGAAGATTTCATCCCAGTTGATACCATCAAGGACATTGATAATGTCATCATAATTGGCATTGTTGAAATCATAGCAAGTGGATCGAGGAACTACGGCAAATTCGGCCAATGGGTTATCTTCGAGATGAAGGAGAATCGGTGGGTGATGGGGCACTAGTTTTACTAAAGGAGATGGAGCCTGTGTAATATGTTGCTTTGCTGATAAGCTTTATAGCTATTCTTATCGAAAACTTTCTCAGTTACAACTAATTTGCATAGATTGTTTTAAACCAAAAGACAAATTAAATTGTTATTAATTATTTAAGAGATTGATAACCTTATGGTATGATCAAGCAGCTTCCAGGCAACACAGTATTTTACAGTGTGATATAGTGGCCATGATCTTTGTGCTCTATTTTTTTTTGATAATTACTTTATTTGTACAGGCTCAATCGAATAAACTTTACAGAGCCGAGTTATCCTTTCCGTTATACATTATTACTGTCTTATATTTAAAGATAAAGGAACTGGACCGAGTACTCGCAGTTGTCTCGAGGTTAGTGGAGATTTACAATTTTTTGGATGGGAAAAGGGAAGAAGGAGGTTTCAAATGTGGTTTGCGATACAACTATTTAATTAATCCTAAAGCATGAAATGATGTCTATTCATCTTGAAAACAAACATTGGAAAAAAACCCACACATAAAAAATACAAACTAAACACAAGGTTAATCAAACTTACAATCTAAGGTTAATATTCTTAAAGTAAACATATATGAGTTTCATAAACTCCAGATCGCGTCTAGCCTAACCATCCCGAACTGGAACATTAGGTTGTCTACCTTGAGCCCGAAGGGAATCATAAAAATGTGATCTGACTCCACGATACTCCGCACAAGACCAAAGGATGTGATCAGCGTCCTGGTAACCTTGTCCACATTCACAAAGATTGCTGTTTCCCAACCCCACACGGAACAAGTGAGCGTTTAACGATTGGACATGAGGCGATACATCACGCGAATGAAGTCTCGACCCATATTCAACCCTTTGAACCATGCAAACTTCGACACTTTAGGGATAATTGAATGTAGCCATCGTCCCAAGCTCCCTTCACTCCATTGATGTTGCCAGCTAACGAGCGACTGCTGACGATAAATAGAAAAAAAAAAATCACTATAGGCGATTTGTCGATCATAAATGTCGCCTTCCATAGCGTCCACCTTCGCAAGTGAAT